GATTCAAATGTAATTTTTTATTTTTCACTCCATATGCTCATCACGTTTTTTACACTCCCGAAAACTTTCAATTTTGAATGTTTGAAGTCAAATTGGTTTCTACCTGTTTTTAATGTACCTTGAGTTCACTGTATGTTTTTATAAATCAGTAGCTCGTTTCTGTAACAATTATCTAATGATCAATAGAGAATGACGTATATTCTCTACCAGTAGAGAAATAATCGGTAGAGAAGAGTTACAGAAACGAGCTACAGGACTGCGGCAATTGTGCGACTTTTTAATTTTAATTAATTAAAATTATTAAGTTTTAAAACAAGGGGTTTTAAGGTATTGCTAAATTCATACCTTTCTCAGAAAAAATTAAAGATAAATGCCATAAGGTTTGCTCGAATACATATATATTTTTTCATTAGAATTGAGATAATTTCACATTGTCCCTTGTTTATAGCCTTTGGAAAATACACCGTAGTATTTGGAAATTTTCGAAATTAAAATTTCTCGGCTGAAAAAAATATTCGAGCAGGCACAACAGCATATGATATTCTTAAAAATGCTTTAAATAGCTTTTAGAGAAACAAAACCGTCGGAATGCTAAGTTACCTCTAAAATAGGCCAAAATCAAATTTTTCGCTTTTATAGGTTAGGATGTTTAAAAAAAATTATGTAATAGCGCAATTATGAATTCAAATTAGAATTCGGCACCTCAAAATCTATTAGAAATGGGTAGCCTTATCTAATGTGCAATTTTCATGTCGAACTGTGAAATATGTAAACAATATTTAAGTATTATACCTCTTTGTCGGCAGCTGATAACTTTTTGAACATGTTGGCATAAATCTTTCTCTCTTTGTCGTTGGCTTCTCTAATTTTTTGTTTGCAAATTTGTATTTGGTTTATAGCAGCTTTGTTGGTAGGTTCCAAGTCTATTACCTTCAAATAATGCAAAGTTTTTTAGAAAATTTAAGTGCACAATTAAGATAAGCCAACAAATACTTTTTGAAAATCATCTAAGGCTTCTTTAAAATCGTTTATAGCAACATTACATTGCCCACGACGGTAAAGTGCTTTGATGTTAATGGGATCCAATTTGAGAGCTTCATTGCACTATAAACAAATTTTTTTTTTATTAAATAGGTTAAACCTACATATGTACGCATGGTATACATAGGAAATTAACAATACTTACTGCTTGCTTGCCTTCAAAGTAATCATTCGTTTTCTGGTAACATAAAGCTATATTGCTGTTCAAAGCTATCTTCAGTTTTTTTGAGTTCCCATTATCTGTAAATATGTTAAGTAAAAGTTTTTCTTAATGGAGTTGATTCCACATTTAACTTGGAACAAATGTTTGCTTACCAATTTCTGAAATAATATCTGTAGCCTTTTTGTACATTTTAGTCGCTAAAGAAAAATTTTGTTTTGAGAAGTATTTTGTTCCCTTAGCTTTATACAATTCAGCATGATGCACTCTTTCCTCATCAGATAATTTCCATTCTTCCATGCCCTGAAAAAATCAAATATGTGTTAAAGTAAAAAGTAGACTCACGAAGATCATACAGTCAATCAATAAAGTTTAGGTACAGCGATTGCAAAACGGGCAACTGTTTTTTAATTATTTTATTTTTCGAATTTTTTTTATAAAAGTATGGTTAATTCTACGACCAGGACCCCAAAAATGTGAGCTCCAAACTTTGTGCAAAATTAATAAAAATTCTGCAAAATTTCATCAAAATATTACACTTTTTAATTACACTCTTTAGAAATAAACTGAATATGCAGTTTTTTAGCCCATTCAATTTTGGTAACATAATGTATAAGTCTGAGGTAGCTAGGACTTACCAATAATTTTTGGATTTTTTTTTTTTGTTGAAGGGTGTCGTTAATTTTCTCCACATAAAAAAAAAATAATCGAAATTTTTTTTATATGGAGAAAGTTCAACAAAAAAAATTTTCTAAAATCATTGGTAAGTCCTAGCTACCTGAAACTTGGCACTTTATTATACTAGAACTGCATACTCAACTTTTAACAGTGCAATTCAAAAGCTCAATATTTTACTAAAAAATTGCAGAATTTTCTTTAATTTTGCACAAGGTTTCTGGCGCTCTGAGTTTTGGGGTTTATATTTTCATTTAATTTCATTTATTAAACAAATTCATTAGTACAATAAGATCTTAAAGCTCTTTTATAGTACAACAGTAATTATAAAGCACAAACATAAAGCAACGAAAGAAACACAATAAGTAAAAAATAAATAAATAAAATAAGAGATTAAAAATAAAAGAACAAAAAAATATAACTAATCCAAAGATTAAAAACTAACATTTTTACCTAAATAAAAGCACAAGACCAATGTAAACATGTGTAGATACATACATACCACAGTTGTGAAAAATGCATTGATTTTGTAATGCATTAATGGCATTTAAAGCAACAACGTAAATGTAAAAGATTAATGCATTAATTTATGAAATTTAATGCAAATGAATATTTCAATGCATTAATTCTGAAAAATGTAATGCTAAAGAAATTTTTTTTTTCATTAAATTATCCAAGCTAATGTTAATGAAAAAATTTTAATGCACTAAAATGTTTAATACCTTTGCTCGTTTGCATTATTAAAAACCATTAAATTTTTTTCTAGTAAAAATAAATAATCTCTTTTGGAAGGACTTAGAATAATTACTAATAGTTTTTTCAGGTTCATTATATTATGTGTATTTGTAGAACAGTTCTTCTAAACATTGTAAGATGTTTTATGAAAATGAAAGCCAATGTGCATGCCAGAGTGCTTTTG